CCCCACCCCAACCCCACCTGCCCCCCAAGAAATTCCTTACTTTGCAAGTTTTATTGCGGAATCCGACAGATCTCAGCGAGCGCAGTCGGATGCGGCAATCAGAAGGGAAAAAAAAACAATTTGGGCATTTTTTGGGGGCATCCGGTTTTGCCAGTTCACCGCCCCTGGACCGGTCTGGTCCCGGTTGAACCAGGGCAGGTGATCCGGCCGGTTGCTGGCCCAGCCCTGGTTCGTGTCCATGTACCTGTGAATTAGATAGAAGCAGGTGTAGATGCATGTGTTTGCCTCAACATCTACACAGATTTGTGTATACATGCCTGTTCAGAAGAAATGCATGCATGTATGTATGGATGTGTTAATAATGTATGGACACCTCCTAACCCACTCTGTGCAGCCAGTTTCTACTGCGTTCTCCACGGCCAAGCAGAAGCACAGCCAAGCAGAAGCATGTCCAAGCAGAAGATCGACAGAAATACATACATACATAACCAAACATCGACTGTTGCGAAGCAGGAGCAAAGGGAAGTACAACTGTTTTGACAGGAATACTTTCAGCTCAAACAACAGGAAGGTTATTATAACAATTCTATACCGGTGCACAAACATGAGCCGGATCTTTCTACCTACAGAGTTCAAGTAAGACACAATCTAAAATCCCACTACTGATCCCCTTCTTCTATCACCAAAGTGACCAAACAACTACATGAGAGCTCACTGGCTGTGAACCACCAGCTGGCCAGGATGCACTTAGTCGCGGTACTCCTCCATGAACTTCTTGTGGAATTCTCCAATCTTGGCAATGACGGTCGGCATCTTCTCTTCACCGGGAAGGATAGTACAACGGTAGTGGTAAGTGCTAGGCACCTGCACACCATCGGAAAAAAGGCAAAACAAATCCCAACGTAAAAAACCAAACTCCTTCAGAGTTTAATCTCTGTTTCTCTTTGGGAACGCAACTTGCAATGAACCTCTCAGTTCACCACCAATGAGCACACACAATCACACAGCAAGCATGAATGAGATCACACGAAAATCACACTAGAGGCCAGAGAGATGGAGACCAGGTAGCGCAGCTTTAGAATCCCAACAAATTATCATACAAGCAATTGAGAGTCTCAGTCACAGGCGCTCAACAACACAAACCCAAGTATCCAGTATCTCCACTCAGGTATGTAACTCTCTTGAAGCTCTTCTCTCTTATCTCTCCAGTCTTCTCTCTGTCTACTACCTGCCTGTGTCTTCTCTCCCCACTTGCATTCACTCACTCACCTTCTACTACTCAAGGACCAACTCTGAATACACCCACTGCTAACTCTACTAACCCCTCTGATCTACTACTAACTACTAGCACTGGCGCAGCTATGGCTGCCTTCCATCCACAAGCGCTGGGCAGCTATAGCTGCCCCCTCTCTCTCCCTCTACTAGCGCAGCTCTCTGGCTCAGCGCTTCGGCCCCTCACAATAGCGCACAAGTGCACCGGCACTTCCACACCTCGTGCGAATTTGCAATCTCCCGAATGAGGAGGCTGGCCAGTCCTTATATTGTCTTGGACCGAGCTTCAGCATGTGCCAGCCTCTGCTTCTTGGGGCTTGACTTGGTTCCGGTACCACATCCTCACGGCCTGTCTGCTTTCGAATGTCAGGGCCTGGAACCTTCCCGAATTTTCATTGGTGTGCTGCTGCTTGGGCCTTTGAGTCACGACTTTTCGATTATGACACACAATTTTGACTGTGGACTGTGACTCCTGCCTCTGGGTCACGACTCTTGGTTCTGGCTCCTGCCATTCTGGGGAGCAACAGCCCGGTTCCTATTCCCCCGGCAAGTCATTGAATAGTACAAAGTTGACTCACACCACGCTCCTCCCCATTAAGGTTGAGAGGCCCGAGTGGGCGGCATTGATTGCTTCCTTCAAGAAGGATGTACCACCCCTCACCCCTGCCTAAGTTAGCCTATTGCAGCTAAGCTTTTTTATGTGGCTGTTATGCCCTTATTCTGCCCCTGGTTGCTCCTCTCAGCTAGAGGCTGTCGGTTACTGCATGTATCTCTAGAGCAGCCATTGAGCTCCTGTTTCGACTCTTCCCCCTAAACCCTCCAAAGGTCCTTCCCTTCCTTGACGAAGATGCACCTCTTCTGCCTATTCGGCACCGTACCATTGCATATCTACCACGGAAAGCTGATGGGGGGGGAAGAGGTCCGGGAAATCTGCTGGTGAGTGCAGCGGCACGCCTTGGTCCACTTTAGTCCAGTCTTTGAAGAAGATGCAGTAGTCCCTCTTGAAGTCCGCCTGTTCCTGTCCGGGAGACTGTCCGCCCTCCCATCGGATGTAGGCGATCCAGCCCCAATTTTCGATGCCCAGCCAGTCCCCTGAGAAATGGTTGATTGCTTGTATGATGTCTTTCTTTAGGTGATACTTCTGTAATTGGTTCTTTAAATTCTGCCATCGGGAGAGGAGTTCTTGTTGTATATACTGTTTAATTATTTCCGTTACTTCCTCTCCTTCGATACGGACCCCCTCGATGGTGTAGGTGCAGCGCTTCCTCCAAAGTGCCCAAATAACCGCTCTCCTTCATATTTTAAACATATTATTTTCAAACTCGCTGTCCGTGGGGGAGGTCCATGCTTCACAAAGGAGCGCCCTCCAATCCCACGGCCAGTTCGATCCAGTGCCCAGGAGGCTCCATATCCTATCCCACCAGCGCCAAGTGAGGACCGCCCCCGGGCACTGTAGGAAGATGTGTTCAATAGTTTCCGGGATCTTTCGGGAGGGGAAGGCATTTTGGCAGGATCTGCACCAGGGGTGCGCCAGACCCTTCTGCTCCAGGAACGTACGATCTATCAGCCAATTATTTGTCGGAAGGCAGCGGTGCTCTATCTGCCACTGCAACGACGCAAATTTGGCCAGTTTTGATCTCATGGTTGAGAACCACCAAATCCGGCGTACGGTCCCCTGATTTAAGTTCAGGTGGGCTATCCAGCGGGCTTTTACTACCTCTTTAAGATTCACTTTTGGCCTCAGCAGCCGGTAGGTGGCCTTCACGGACTGGGTCACGACTCTTGTCTATGGATTTGCCCTTTGTTCGTGGAATGTGACTTTCCAACGTGACTTTTCATTATGAGACATGATTTTGCCCCTAAGATGTGACTGTTTGCCGGGTGCCTGCTGGACTTGACTGCTAAGGTACCCAATTGCAACTTTTTTGAAACTGACTGACTCGGCCTTTCCTGGCCAGGGCCTCTGACCCTGAAACTCGAATTTGGGGTCTAAATCGTGGAAGRCCTTTCACCCTCGCGGGCCTAATTTCGAAGTCCTCCGAGAAACTGACTGACTCGGCCTTTCCTGGCCAGGGCCTCTAACCCTGAAACTCGAATTTGGGGTCTAAATCGTGGAAGGCCTTTTACCAATTTAATCTGTCTATTATGTTAACTCCTCTCTTAGCTCTCTCATAATAGGACACAATATGCGGCGCTGTTTCCATTAGTTCATCTCTTGTAAACCAGCGATCTTCTGTAGGGTCCTCATAGGCAAATCTGACCTTATATTGTCGCTGTGGTCTACCCCTGCGCCCAGATCTGTAAACATCTTCCCCAACAATCTTTTCCACATCATACTTACCATCCATATCAGGGGGAATCATAGATCTGCATGATGGAAACATGTCATTACTAACACAAGGAAGTAATTTTAAAGCGTGAAACACCGGATACGTGTGCAAGTGTGGAGGGATTTCAACAACATACGAAGGACCATCCACATCACCGATTACATCCAGAATCTGCCATGACCCTCTATAGGCAGGCAGTAACTTCTGGGAAATATTCTCCTCAGGGAGAAACTCTTTTGACTTTACCCAGACCAAATCTCATACGGCAAATTGCAAGGGTCTGCGGTGATTGTTAGCTTGTTCTATAATTTGATGTTGTGCTTTACTAATATTCTCTTTAACGTTTTCCATATCTTTCTGGTATTGAATAGCGAATTCCCTGGTTCCTGGCGGGAGTCTCTGCACTTGATCAGGGTTTAGACAATCAATGGGTCTAGGGCGCCATCCAAGATGCAGTTCAGTTGGTGTTCTAGATGTAGCTAGATGCACAGAGTTGTTATAGGCACTTGCAACCTTTGACAGATGTTCGTCCCAGTCAATCTGATCAAGTCAAATGTGCATGCGCAGTACTTGTTGCAGGAGCTTGTTCATCTGCTCGGTTTGTCCATTTGTCTCAGGATGTCTACCTGAAGACATAGTCAATTAAGAACCGTATACATTCATCAGTTGCTGCCATTGCTCACCTGTGAACCGCGAATCCCTATCACTTACAATAGTCGATGGATGCCCAAAATCCTTCACCCAATGATTAAAGAATTCCCTAATCACCAACTCAGTTCTAGCTTCCCCAGCAAAAAAGTGGAACAAACACAGCGAACTTGCTAAACCGATCTACTATCACCATAACCTGACTTTTCCCATTTCTTTTATAGACACGGGTCCCCGGGTCCCGACGGAATAGGTAGCGGTCTGAGTAACCCAAGGGGAGGTTGTGTGGAACTCTTGTTCCTCTGACATACCTGACTGCCTTGCACATAGGAAATGCAATCATGCTTCATTCCCGGCCACGTGTAGGAGCGTAGGAGTTTAGCATAAGTCTTCCTTCATCCGAAGTGCCCCTCAATATCGTGATTTTCCCCAAGCATTATGCTACGAATTTCCTCGCTTTTCAGAACGCATAGTTAGTCATGGACATTTGTCTTTTCAAACGACGGTCCTTGTGTTACCCTATAGTTTGGGACTTCATGCGGCGTTGTCTGCACCTTGCTCATCAATTGACTAGAGACTGGATCATTCTCATAAGCAGACTTGATTTTCTCTTGTAGTTTGATGCTTGCATCTAAATATATGACAATAGCACCGAAAAAGTCAACTCTTCTACTCGGTGCATCGGCGACGACATTGTACTTCCCCTTTACCGGCTCCAGTTCAAAGTCAAACTGATCGATCTTCCCAACCTACCTGGTCAATTTAGGAGTCGTCCGAGCCTGGGTTTTTAGCCAGCGAAGTGTTTCATGATTTGAATAGACTTTAAAATGGTGTCCTAGCAAATAACGTGGCCAGTGGTTCAACGCTTCCCGTAGAGCGAACAACTCTCTCTCATAGGTAGAAGCGGCGACCTTTTCGCTAGGCAGCCTACAGGACATAATTCTACAGGTTTGTACCCATTCCCAACGGCTGGTTGAAGTACAACACCGATCCCGTGTAGACTGGCGTAAGTGGTTACGATAAAAGGCAGAGATGGATCTACAACTTTCAATACCGGGTAGTTAATTAAACATCTCTTTAAACGCTTAAAGGATACAGTACAACTTTGATCCCGTTCCCAGACGGTTTCTTTCTTCAACAACCTGCGCAATGGGGCAGCGATTACCGTAAAGTTTCGAACGAACTTGCAGTAATAGTTGGCCAAACCAAAGAACGAACGCAGTTCCGTCAATGTGCGCGCGTTTGGCCAATCTCGAATGGCTGCAATCTTGGCGTCTTCCGGCTTGATTCCATCACCATCTACCATATGTCCCAAGTAAAGAACCTGACGCTTTGCCCACTCACACTTCTTCGGGTTAATCTTAAATTTCGCCTCTCGCAACTTATTAAGCACAACTTGAAGGTGCTCCTCATGGTCACTCAGACTCTCACTAAAACTCAGTATATCATCTAAATAAACAACAACAAATTTCAAGCCAATCATGAAAAATTCCATTCATACATCGTTGGAAGGTTTCAGGGGCATTTGTCAAACCAAACGGCATCACCACAAACTCATAGTGGCCATATCTAGTACGGAAAGCCGTTTTATGTTGATCCTCGGGCAATACCTCA